ACTGGTCCAGCGCGTCTACCGCGTGGACCGTTTGAGGGGCAGAAGTCAGCGACTCAAGTGCAGCCTCCTAACCGCCTCCCAACTCAGCACGCGTCACAATGTGATGGCGTGGAGCACGCCAGTGACCGACCCGAAGGCCTGTCTGGTAACAAATACATATTCCGGGACAGAATAACTCACGGTCTCTGGCCATGCCGCCCTTGATGCACCGGTCGAAGCGGCATTTCTGGCAGCTGTTGCGGTTCTGTTTGTCCGCCACTGAACAGCGGCCGTTGAATTTGCAAGTGTACTCCAACTTCTTCTGCACGGATCTGCGGAAGAAGCCCTTGCAGCCCTCACAGGTCATTGCGCGATAGTGGAAACCGGTGGCGTTATCACCGCAAACGACACAGGGCTCCGGTCCATTAGATGGGTCCATGTAGCTGGGAATGTATGGCTCTTCTGTAGGGCAAAGGAGGAAACGGCGCTCAGAAAGAATTCAGTTAAAAGTGTACACAAATAAGAAGAAAAATAAGAGGTGAAGAAGATTTCCGGGTCCGCCGTTGCCCTTCTCTGACCTTTCGGGCTCTCACGCTAAACCATCCTCAAGTATAAAGGAGAATGTACAATGCTCAGTTGGAATTAAATCCCGCCTCTGTCGGAAGTGACTCTCAACTTTGGTTTGAACTTCACTGAGACGCGACCAAAAGAACATGTTTCCTGACCCGTTGATATTCCCAATCCCAACCGACTGGCCAACGCGGTAGTGGTAGAGCGTTGGGCTTACTGCTCAGTGACCACCAGTTCTGGTTGGCTATTTGTTGCTGCCTAATAAGCCAGACATGTTCGTCGCAGTATCACTTTTCGCTGCGCGCCCTACCACACTAAATGTTGGCAGAAATTTCGAAATGTGTTTTCGGTTAGAATGGATTATTGATTGTCGCGCGGCATAGTCCTAAAGATATTTCAGTCACCCTTGGATTCTGGATAATGAAAGCACTCCCTTCCTGTCGTCTTTAAGAACCGCGCCCGGTAAGAAATGGCCACTTCAGTAGTATGTATTTTCCCCATAGGTTTTTTATACCGCTATAATGTATTTCATAGAGAACATGCACAGAGGTACTCTTTCTTGTACTCACGTTGTGGCAAACTACGCCTTCTTCAAATCTTCGTAGTTGAAGAAAGGGTATCTTTCAGTTTAAAAAAATTTTTGATCATGAGATATTTTGGTACTGTGGAAGTTTCATGTGTTCTGCATATTATCTGCCTGTTTATGAAGTATACAACAGAGTCCAGAGTCAATGCGGAAATGCCCTATATGCTTTTAATGACGTAGAGAAATGCGTGATTTTCCTTACAGAGAAGGTACGCATGACGCGGATTTGAAACCCTAAGCGCACGTGAAACCGCAGGTCTGATTCAAAATTATTCGTGAGCTGAAAGTTTTCTAAAACCGAAAGATGCCCTTTCTCTGAGTATAAATGTTGAATAAGATGTTAGTTGCTACCAAATGAGCACAAGAAAGGGGGTTTCCCTTGTGATTCCTGCAAGATATGTTTGAATTCATAAGGGTCTTGAAAATCTGTTGGATAAATTCATACTACTTATGTAATCATTTTTTCAACGAGTGTGGTTTTTGCAGGCGGCCGTAAAGAGGCTCGTTCAAAATCTGGAATTTTAGTATGACTGAAGTTACTTTGGATTATGCTGCACGATGATTAACACTACAACCCTACTTAAGTAGTCTTTTCTAATCGAAGCCTCACTTTAAAATTTAGGTTGACATTTCATGAGATAGGCTAAATACTGTAGACAGGTAGGCCTGGCGGACGACGTTGGCATTCCTCTCTGTATATATGCATGCATAAATACATATATAAGTATATATATATATATATATATATATATATATATAACTATGTGAAATTTGTAGGAGAAATGTGTCCTCAGCGCTGAAACGATTACCTGTCAACATGGTTTAACAAAAAGACGCATGAATACTAGATACTTCAGCCAGCATAGTCCATAAGCCACTCCTCATCCCTCGGGATGTTCTTCTCTCCACTGGATGCAGATGTAAATAAGGGCTTTCCCAGACAGATATCGTACATCAGGGGACGGAGAACATCAGTGAATTTACTTCTACATTAGAGGTGGTACTTAAGTTTGGCTGTAGGAAAAGTGTGAGTAGAAAAGTATTGCCTTAATCACATGTGAAGCCATGCTAGGATTGCGGCAACAATGTTCCAGGTCTACTGTAATAGCGTTTCCAAATACTGTTTGGTTGTTCATACTTCCCATCGTCTTGCAATGCCTACAAAGTCCTCAAGATCTAGCCCAGCAAATTGCTTAAAATGCATTTCTTACAGTCTGTTAGTATGGCCGTGGACTTCGGCCTTTAAAAAAGCGCAAATTCGCGAGCATTTTTAAAAGACCCGAATTTTCGACTGAAGATAGGTTTGCATTCTGTCGTTTTCGGTCAGTGGTAAGGCGAGGGCATATGGACTTCCCCCCGCCCTCCGCACTGCAGGTGGTCTTGCGCTAGATTCTTGCTGCTGCGCAAGTCGGCCCCATCGTAATTCAAATCACCCCGCAGGTGGTCATCCCAGATAATGGTGATTCTGGTCGAGCAGCAGGGAAGACTGGCTGGTGAGGTCCGTCGAAAACACAAAAGGGTCTGGGCGCCCTTATGCTTTCGGTGGCAGTGTCGTGTCTTCTGTGTCCGAACATGGTTTCTTATGACAGCGCATCCATCTAAATTTCAAGTTTCTTCTACTCCTGCATGGCAGAATCGACCTAAATTCGAGTGGATTTGATTAGTTTCGGTCTGGATGGAGTTCGAGGACCTACTAACTGGGCACCTGCGCCGGTAGTTGCGGCAGACGTAGTGGGCTTAAGGAGGAGGAGGAGGAGGAGGAGGAGACTGTTTATTGTGGCCAGTTTCTTTTTAACTTTCCTGCGGAAAAATAAGTGACCACTACTTAAGATATGGTTGGTTCTCCCTTTAAGAGTTACTGAACTCTCACCACAAAACGCAGCCGAGTCGAGATACCCCCACCAGCCATTTAGGGTGGCAGGCTTGTGAAATTGAGCCTCCATTTTTTATCTCCACTCATATGTGAATTTTCTTGTATTTACATCTGTTGGCATAGTTTACTCATTATACACTTGTTTTTTCCCCACTTTGTTTATCTGAACTGCAATAATGAGGTCATCCGCACATTACACTAACACCTTTTGAAGGAAGTGAAACCTGACGCGAGTTTCGTACCTCAGTCACCGGCTATTCTTCATGATGTCCACAGTTGCAGTTTTCACTTGAGGCAAGCGGGGCAGCGGAAGAGGTGGAGGATGAGGAGGATGGGGAGGAGGAGGAGGAGGAGGAGGAGGAGGAAAACATCGGGAAGGACGGAGGCGGGTGAAGGCAGAGAGTAACCGGAGGAAAAATGCGGTGAGGGCCTTGGAAAGGGGGAGGATTAGGGTGAATTAAAGTTCTCGCTTTGGAAGAAGGGTAAAGAGGAGGGCAAGGGAGGAAGTTGACCAGTACTAGGAAGTCGTCGGGGGGGGGGTGTTGCCGACGGCTGAGAGACACCGTCCTCAAAGACGGCACAGTGCTGTCTGTTACCAGAGCCTTACTGGCCTTTCCAACGATGTTCACTGGCGTTGCTCGTCCCACCACCCCGCCAGCAGCATTTGTTTACCTCAGTTCGGATATTTGTGCCTCGTGCGCACTCGGCGCACCATCGTGCCGTGCAAGTTTTACTGTCCCGCACGTGTGTATGTGTGTTTGCCGCCAGTCCTACAGTGGACGGGCTGTACAGCGCAGGCACACACACCCCCCCCCCCGAGGTCACGAGGTCATGCAACGCACACACACACACACACACACACACACAGCGGGCAGGAGCAGGCTTGCGCAGCTGTCGCGGTGCTGGATCGTAGCCGCCACGCGCCCTGTTTGCTCGCACTGCCAGCCTGACTCATCACCCGCGGTGGAGCCGCCAGCAGCCGCAAGTCGTGGTGGTGGTGGCTAGGGCGACGACGACAGCCGTGTGGAGCACACAACGGCCCACGGTCAGAGGTCAAAACGCGCTCAGCTGGTCGGACCAAACTGGGCCCTTGTGCGCCGGCGTTCAGCCGACCGCACTCTGGCTGGCATGAACGCTCACGCACTGTCGAATGGGCGCGGGCAACTTCCGGGTGTTTTTGGACGGTCTTTGACAGAAAGTAGGACGGTCAGATGTGGTTATGTAGCCGCACCTGAGGTAAGCCAACCCCCAGCCGCCTGTAATGCGGGTGGGGCGGGGGAACGCACAGGCGACGAGTTCAAGCACTTGTATGCAAAAGAAGAGCTATTGGGAATGCGCGGTTGTGCTTGGAGGGGGTGGGAAATAGTTGCCTTAACCCCTAACAATATTGTATCCATCAGGTGCGGCTACATGACCATATATTACCCAGATTAAGCGGGCTCCGGGGTGCTATCCCGCTAGTGCTCTTGCGACCATTTACCTCTCCCCCCTAGAAGTTTTTCATGATGCCGGCACCGCAGCCCTGAGTGGACACTTGAACAGATGTCAACTACTGCAAAACTCCCAATCAGCAACATTTGCACGGTCACTGTGGGTCAGAGTTCGGGGCAGCTTTACATTCCGGTTGCAACTAAAACATTATCTACGGGAGCTCCACTGTGGCTAGTCCGGAATGTCGGGGAAATATTCCTCATGTTCTCGTATTGCCCACTGGTTTACATTTGGGTTCCCAACTTTGGTAACCTTAAGCACACTTGTTTAGACGCCACATTTCCAAAGGGCCAACCAAATTCAACCTTTCGTGCGTAAACCCTACTTCAAACCTTGTAGTATCTGCCGCACTCGTTCAGAACCTCGGCGCTGAGTGCGAAAAACATAAATTTTGGCAGGCATTGTATTGCCGTGCGCCAACCGCAAGGACAATCGGGGAGTCTTATCCAGCAACCCTAACATCCAGCAAATAACATCGTTTGGCGCGCGCGCGCTGCCTTGGCATATGACATACGGATGTTACGTTTTGCCTCAGAGCCTCCAATTTAAAGACCTCGTGGATGGTCGCGAACCGAGATGTAATCAACGACTTGGAAGAATCATTGTTCAGGACAAGGTAGATTTGAATGGCTTACGAGAACAAACAGACCGGAAATGGTTATTCGCAGATTGCAGTACTAGGTCGGATGTGGTTATGTAGCCCCACCTGAGGTAAAGAAAGCCCAGTCACCTCTAATACGGGACAGGTGGTAGTAGGGGTTTTTACAAGTGGGACCGGAGAACGCACAGGCGACTAGATCAAGTGAAGTGCAAAAGAAAAGCTATTGCGAATGCGCGGTTGTATTTTGAATGGGTGAGGAATAGTTGCGTTAACCCCTAACCCTGACCCCCAACTAGGACCCATAATTCTAAACCCCCAACCATTAACACTAACCCCTAAACCCAACCCCAACAGCAGTGAGTCCATCAGGTGGGGATAACAACTCACATCTTACTCGCAGTTGTACTTTGAGTGGTCTGTATATTGTAAACCCTGAATGCAAGTGTAACGGCAGGTCAGGTTTAAAATTATTCGGGAATCGGAAAAGTTTTTGAAAACCGAATTATACGCTCCCTTCGGGTATACACTTGGAAGAAGACGTAATTTTCTACCAAATGAGCAAAAGAATGAAATGGTTTATGCATGTTTTCCGTGAAATATAATTGAATTTTTGGGGGAATCGAAATAAATGAGAAAAATGCATACTACTTAAGTGGCCATTTATCACAGAGTATAGATTTTGAATGCAGCCGGAAGGAAGTTCATTCGAAAGCCGGCATCCTGAGGTAACTGAAATATTATAAAATTATGTTGCAGGCTGACCAGTTTTACAGCCCTACTTAATTAATATTTTCGAAACGAAAACGCATTTCGAAATTTCGGTTGACATTTCAAGAGTTAACCCACCTACTGTAGGTTTAAGGCAAGTTTTAGAGTTAACGGTAAGACACGTCGGAATAAAATGTAGGGTCAAGGGGGCCAGTGTTGAACGCAGAGTCAGGGTTACGCGTAGGATTAAAACTAGAGCAACGGTCGATTTGGATAGTTCACATTTTATGACAGGACTTATTTACATGATCCCCTAAACAGCACAGGAGAACAATGACCACCTGCAACACAGGTGACTTTGAGCCAACATCCAGTGAAATCGGGGTCAGGTTTCGGGTTAGGATAGGGACTACTGCTAATTGCAGGGTTAGGTTTAGGGAAGTGTTAGGTTCAAGATTAGGACAGCGACTTAGCTGTGTGTCTAAGACACGGTAATATTTTGCCCTTACCGGAATTTTGCGCAGGTCCATGTTTATTACTTTGACGGGACGTACCTATTGTTATGTACTGTTTAGGGGGTTCATATAAGTTAGCCCTACTCATTTTTTTCAAAGGAGATGACAGTTGTTCATGCTGGGTGCAAAGAATGTTGAGTGCATGTGTAAAGGACGCTGTGAAGGTTCGTTGATGACAGAAACTCTTTCCCCTGCTAAAGAGTGATCATGGCTTTTTTTACAGGAGTAGAACGAGTAGGGTAGTATGGACGCACCTTGTCGCAGATATTGTAGTGGGCACAACACAAGGTCTCACGACATGATTACGAATACGGGGGTGGAAGCTAGTCATCAGGTGGATCTGCTGCCTATTTACTTGTCCACAGCAGTTCCGGTAGATGTGCAAACTCACGAAACGTTGACCGAAATTCTGAACTGCGTTTTCGGCTCGAAATGGGTACCTAAGTAGGGTCGCAATATTGATCATCATGCAGCATCAACCCATAATAAATCAGTTACTTCAGGATGCCGGCTTTCGAAAGAACTTGTTTCCGGTCACCTGCAAAAACTACATTCAGTAACAAATGATCGCCTAAATAGTATAAAATTCTATAATTTATTTTCTATGCCTTTATAAATTCAGAAACATTTTCTAGAAAACGTATTATTTTAATTATTTGGTAGAAAATTACGTCTTCTTAAAATTTTATACTTGAAAGAAGGGGATAATTCGACTTTTATAATTACCGAATAATTTTGAACACGACCTGCTGTATACTTTCCGTGCATGAAAAACCATACGTTTCTCTGCGTAATTAAAAGGAGACCATGTGGGGTTCATAAAATTTGCAGTGGATTTGAACCATACTGTTAACTCTAAAAGAAACACTAGTCAGTGCAGACACGATGTTTTATGAACAGGCATTTAGCGGTTGTAAAAAATCGCACAATTAGAAACTGTTTAAAACCGAATTATCCCCTTCCTTCAAGTATAAAACTTGAAGACATAATTTTCTACCGAATAAATAGAAGAATGAATTTCTTTATGCATGTTTTTATGAAGTATGTTTGGAGTTATAAGGGCATAGAAAATAAATGAGAAAATTTTATACGACTTAGGCAGTCATTTTTTCCACAGAGTTTCGCATTTGCAGGTGGCTGGAAAGAAGTCCGTTCGAAAGCCGACATCCTGAAGTAATTGAACTATCAAGAGACTATGCTGCAAAGTGATTAGTATTGCAACACTATTTAAGTAGTCTTTCCGAGTCGAAAACGCATTTCTGAATTTCGGTCAACATCCCATGCGATGGCAGGTCTACCGTGTTTCAGATGGTCGCTGGTGTGAATACTGAGCAATACTAACCGAGTACCGCAGAACACTGATCCGATATTTGCGCCTGCTTAGAGGGGCTTTGTCGCGGTTCGGTCCGGGCACAATCCATTGTCCAAGATGGTACTATCTGTTGACATCAAGTGTAACAGACCACGAGTTGGACAGAGTTGTTCGAACGGATTAGGGTGACTTTGGGTGCGGATTCGGGATGTAGATGGGGAAAGATGTGGTCATGTAGTCGCACCTGATGGACACAATACTGTTGACCTTAGTTATTTCGCGTTGCTGTGATTACGTTGGCATGGGGTTGCGGTGTGTGTTCTGTTGACCGCTTTATTTCTTTGTTGTCGTGTCTACCTTTTTGGCCCAACGCCGGTGGTTTTTGTTGACTTTCGGCCTATCGTCTCCTCTAATTTTCACATTGTATGTTTCAGAGTTAGGGTCTAGGGTTGCGGTTAAGCGTTGGTGGTTAGAGTTAGTGGTTAGGACAAGTATTTCTCAACTACTCAAAGTACAACCGCGAGAAAGATGTGGTTTGGTGGCCCCACCTGATGGACTCAAAGCTGTTGGGGTTGGAGTTAATGGTTAGGGGCTATAGTTAGGGCTTAGGGTTAAAGGTTAGGGTTAAGGGTTGGGGTCTAGGATTACGGATTATAGTTAGGTGTCAGGGTTAGGGTTGGGGGTTAACGCAACAATTTCTCAACCATTGAAAGTACAACCGGGCACTCCCAATAGCTTTTCTTTTGCATACAACGACTTGGCCTCGTCGCCTGTGTTCCCCGTCTCTACCTGTAAAAGCCTCTATTACCACCAGTCCCGTATTAGAGGTGACTGGGGTTTGCTTACTTCGGCTGAGGCTACATAACCACATCCGACCCAACCACGCATTCCTAATAGTTTTTCTTTTGCTTAGAATTACTTTGCCCCATCGCCCGTGCGTTCCCCGACCCTCCCTATAGGTGGGGCTACATAACCACACCTGACTGGAGATGGTGAAGATAACCGGCCTCCGTTCCCTTACAACTCCCGACTCAGCTCCCACAACATTCGTCGCAACTCGTCTCTCCCTCTCGCTCTCTACGTAGTGCCTTCCACGGCCTTCCCTGCGGTTGCCCACAGAGCTGTACTTCCCATTGGTTGCTAGGCTGTCATGACGATGTCACCTCACATCCAGACGGGTCATCCCGTGATGTGTCTGGTCTCCATCGCATGTACGCCATATCGCCACACAGATCCGAGAATAAGTCGCCAGTTCTCCAGGTTCGTTGGCCTCGTCTCATGTGCGTCCACTCTTGTGGGAACAGATGCCCGATCTGCGGAGGCCGAGGATAACGAGTGGGTTTATAGTGATAAACCGCGGTTCGTTGAAGTGCCTGAAACCAACTTGACAGACCTCGTCCGTGAACAATCTTCGCTGTGCGCGTGGTCAGGCTTTTGCGTCTGGTCCCAAATAGGGATCGCAGTTGCGATTGGCTGGGTAATGCCAGAACAGACCCGGTGACCCTGCTGTATCAGCCACCCACTCATTTTCAGTCGATGCCTTTCACCGCCTCTCCCTAGAAGTAAATGGATGGCGTTTAGTCATTTTCCGGTTTAACGGCACGACCCGTGCGGATCCTACTAACTCGTCTGCTTCCTCTTAGTCATTGGTTCTTTGCGGGGGGAGTCAGAAGGAATTTCGGCCCAAATTCAAATGCACTTCAGTATTCTTGTTTCAGCGGATTTAAACAACTGGTTTTCCTTTTCCTATGCTCAGAAAATGATGCCATCGATATGTCATCCCTTGTGGCAGATGGAGACCACCACTGCCCAGGGAATTGAGCAGTGACATCACGAGAACTGAGTCATAATCGGTGTGACTTACACAGCGTCCACCACCCCATCTCCTCCGCACCTGTTGCATTCCAATGATAAGACGCACTCAAGACTACTGGAGGCCGGTGCGAGCGCAGTCAGCGGCTCACTTCTACGCGTGCCACGCGCGTGCTGACTCGTAATTACACGCAGACCAGACTGTGCTAACTCGTTGGCAACCGTCAAAGGGCCGAATTAGGGGCGGTTCGTTGCAAAACAGCTTTCATTGCCGAAGATCAAGTTACTCTGCCAGCTAAGATAGGGCTTCTCAGCAACCGTGATTGTTCAAAAGCATATCAGATTTTCGGACCAAAGTTGCTGTCAAATGGACAGATTAAAAAAAAACAAAAAAGCAAAAACTGGCGGTGTTTGAATACCGTTATCCATGAACAAACCCATGAATGCCGCAGTCACCGCGCCATTCCTGGTCTGATCCCCTTAACCACTTGGGTGTGTCGGAGAGGTGGTCAGCTCAAACGCCGGTTCATCCGGAGACGGAGACGGTTTTTCAGCCTTCGCTATTCGGTCGCCGTCGCTAGCAAAGGGACTGAACCGCTGACGCGCGCTGCCACGCGTGATCCGCGATATGATCCAGAAAGGCTGGATCAGGCGATATCACAGACTCAGTAAACACGCGTAGTGTGGGAGCTGACCAGAATCGATCCCATTTGCTCTACTTGCTCCCACCGTGAGAAGACTGAGTCAAGCCATTTGGAAATCAGATCCGTGACAAGCCGAGCATTTCGCTCCTGGCTCACATGTGCCACCAGACGACTAATTTCAAACCGGGCTACCGGTAGGACATTCGAGTCAACTGACTCATTGCCAACCGACCCCCGTTTAAGTTCAGTAGCCCCCATTGCGTGGAGATGGGTACGGCTGACCGATGATGGAGAACAAGCCAGAAACGGTCACTTAAATAGTCATCATTGCTACTGCTCGTCGGCATGTGATTGATTGGTCATAGACCAGCTCCACGTATGTTACTTACGATCGCCAGTAGTTTGCTCGAAAATTAGTCGCCGACTTGGTTGTAAATCAGTAGAGTTGAGACCAACAGGCAGCCAGTAGTACATACATGGGATGCATGATATTGCATAAGTGACAGCACAGGTAGTAGCTAAAATATCGGCGAAACACGTTTTTGGGTTTTTAGATAGCAGCTGCGGTATTCAGTGCAGTATATTGTGCTGCCTATGCAAACACGAAGTTCTCACCTAACTGGTTTTTGCTTCCTCCCTGGTTTTGTCAGATTCTGGGTTAGTGGGGAACATAATGCAAACGCAGATAATCAGTTTAGAAACCGGATTCCGTGGGTGAAACGGATTCAGCCCAGGCAGATGTACAGGTCGCACTTCCGCCTAGCATATTTTGTAAAACAAAGACTGTGGGCAGTGATAGAAGAGACTTTCAGAGGAAGACGATGTAAACACTGGAACAGGAAGTTTACTGGCCTAATGTTTCGGACTCTCATTCGAACCCATAATCAGGGGCGGTTGCAGAAGAGACCTTAAAAAGTGGACACAGCACTTCTGACAGTAATAGTAGTAGTAGTAGTAATACTAGTACTAGAACTAGTAGTACTAGTACTAGTAGTACTAGTATTTGTAGTAATTGCATATACGGGGTGTGCTGTTCTGACCATTGTTAAATTTAGAGATGCCAAAACGAATTTGTCCGACTTTTTATTCACTTCTTGTGATACTATGCCTCTGGGCCAAAGCGCAATAAATGCAATTTGATCCCACATCCGGGGCCTGACAAACGACGGCTATATCCTAAACAATTTAACTTCATGAGGAGCTTCTTCTTCCTTCTCCTCCTGGAAAAATACTAAAAGGAATGACAACTTTTTAACGCCACTGGAAAGCTCGCATGTCTTTCTCTTCTATGCCATCCATCAGTGTGCTGACGCCGGCTAGGGACCCCAGTATTTGAACGGCAGTCTGGAAAAGCATGTCCGGCGGGTCTCGTAGCTCAGAAGGTTAGAGCGTCGGCTGTACTAAAGCCTTCCGCCTTACTCTCATGGGTTCGAATCCCACCGTGGCGCCCAGTTTTTTTATAGCTGGGTCAAAGTGAAAAGTACCATTTGTAATGGCAAGGATGCTGGGGGGGGGGAGGGGTGAGGCATTGTCTAGGCCGCTTGCATGAACACGTTTGGGATTGCTGCTGGTCACTTCACCTGTCGTGCAACGCAGATGCAAATGAGAACTATGACGGCAAAGGACAAGATATGCAACGCCCGCGGCACAATCTTCCAAAACAGGATGGTCGCCGGACAGGCATCATAATCACAGCGGAAGTCACTCACTGGTCTCTCCCGCTACTGAACAGTGACTTGCGGTTTACTCGGCGGGGTGAGGTGAACAAAAAACAGCCAGTAATGGTCATTCTAGACCTTAGGACTTACGACTGTTGGCTGCGAGGTGATAGGGACCTGGCCGGAATGCAGAACGGGGTTTCGAAGCAGTACAGAACTAGGCAACATTGGTAAGCGAACGGCCCCTTTACCTGACTTAAAGAGGACGTAAATCCACTGTCCAGTTATGGATCGCTAAGCTCAATGACCCGCTAGATCCGGGGTCAAGCCCACGCCTGTGCGCTGATTGGCTGATGACGGCTAATTAGGCATGAAACGGTCAACATAGTAAGCACCCCTTGGAAGGTCAGATAATCGTGCACCGCGGGAGAGAGAGAGAGATAGTAATAGACCTACTTTTACGCTGTCGTCCCTGTTTGCTTCCGGTCATGGAGGCCGAGGCAGCAACATTGTTGTTGCTGCTGCTGACGTTTCCTGAGGCTGACGAGGCCGACGAGGGTGCTGAGGAGGAGGGGGAGATCTTATAGCCGAGACCGGGAGCACCCTGTTCCCGCTTTACCGGTGTGATCGGCGCAGAGTTGGCCCCAGAAGCGCCCAGCCTATTGTTTGCAGCGACACGGTCCTCAAAGTAGGCCAAGGAGACGGCTGCGCGAACCCCACCCATTGTTGGATCAACTGCAGCCTGGGAGACCGGAAAACTTTGGACTGCTGGTGGTGAGGAATGGCTGGCGGCTCCGTGGTAGAAGGTGGCCGCTGCTTGAACCTGCTGTTGTTGATGGTGCGTATATTGCTGTTGCTGCTGCTGCTGCGGAAGCAGACCGGGGATGATTTGGGGAATGGGCTCTATTAGCTGGGACGGTGTCCAGTAGGAGAGGTATTCGTCCGCTGGGGTGTGTACCACCATCCTACTGGCGCCGCCCCTACCACCACTGGCCGCGAAGGAGGTGGAGGAGAGGTTGTAGAAGGAGGAGGAGGATCCTCCACTCTGGTCGGCGTTCGTGACCAGGGGTAGGTACGGACACAGTTGATCGGATTCTTGTTTGACGCCTGACGTTGTTGCTGTTGATAGCATCTTCTTAAATTTCATTGCTCGTTGGAAGCGGGTATCAATAAGATCACAGCCAGTGGGTACGATGAGCAGTGTTCACTGTGTTCACAGGAAAGAGGTCGCATCCAGGGAGAAAGCGAGGTGAGAGCGGATGCTGCTTGCTCGTATGCTGGTACCGCCCACTCAGATGATCGAAGAACGAAAAATGGTGACGTGGGTGGTGCGTCCACCAACTAGGTGGACACACAGACGCACGTAACGAAATCGATCAGCGATTGGCGCATCGCGCCCGGCTAGGCGATCGACACGAGGCGATAACGATAGAGAAGCTCGCAGGCACGATGCCCATTGGACAGGGTCATCGCAGAGAGCGAGCGAGAGAGAGCGAGAGATCCAAGTGTGAGTGCGTGCGTGCGTCCATGCACGTTCGCCGGTGGCGCGGCGCTCTTGACGCGGCGCCTTCGAGGTCACGCGAGTGCGCACGGCTTAGGGCCGTTCGGGTCAACCATCGGAAGACGGCAAGGAAAGAGGGAGGGAGAGACGTCGGCAGCCCTAATTTACGCACGAACGGTTGGCACTACGTTCCCAATTAGTCCTTAGGCCGGCCTCGACAATGCGTGTGAAAACAGCTCACCAGAGCGTAGACGTTTGTTTCAACGGCAGGAGGCACCATGGTGGGGCGATGTCCGCCTTCCGAATGTACAGGTTCAAGTTTTGGCGTTGTTTACGTATGCCTGACGAAATCGTTCAATGGGTACCATAAAAAGTCGTAATCTTTTCTACAAATTGAGGCGAACGCTCGAATTTCAGGTATGCGTATGCGTAAGGAACAAGACTGATTGAGCAACAGAACCATCTACTTATTTTTCAGGGCTTTCGGACACGTACAAGAAGCTATCGTCTGAGATAAAGACGGTAACAGCATAAGTCGCAGGTAAAGGGGATATTGGCCAATCAGGGATCAGTGACGCAGGTCCGGAGGTGATTGGGTAGAACTCTGTGTACAGGTGCCAGATCGATATACCACTTGACTCAGCTCTCAAATTGTGCGGCTTCTTCGTTTTCGCAGAAACCATCTGGTGGCTCACAAATGAAGATATCTGAAAATATTCCTCCAACGGATTCAAATTCACTGCGCCATCCCGAAAGATAAAGCACACCAGGTCCAATAATTCCGCGACCAGTGTGTCCGAAGGCATTTATAAAGCAATACCTGCATGTTTGCACCTGAAGGACGCAAATAAAAATGCAACAGAGGACATAATATGCTGCACCATATATCGAGCGCATTGTTTCGGGACTAGGTGGTAAAACTGCACACAGTCCCAATGCTACCATGAGCAACATGACCATGAAAATCGAAGACCGATTCGATCCCAAGGAACAGTCGAATGTAGTATATCGTAGCCCGTGCCTAAACTGTCCTTGTAGCTACACAGGTTAGACTGGATACCTACTCGTATCGCGCATACACAAGCATAGACTGGCCGTGCGATGGAGCAACGAATTATCACGGTTGGCTGCTCACAGCTTCGAGACAGGTCACGAGTTTGAAAACAGGAATTAGACCTACGAGAATGCGGAGAGCCGTTGCGTTAGCACTTCCTCCCCACATGTATGGGCTTTTAACTCCGGTGTACGGACTCCAACAGAGGTCTGGTGGTCTACTTCTGACTGAGCCGAATTGGTAGTCAGAGACGACTACAATTTGCCCTTCTGTACGGCGGGAAAGTAGCTAAGATTTAACCGAGTTTTAATTGCTTACGGTGCCCACTGTCCGGGAAGTATCTCCTCTAATAATTTCGCCTATACAAGGTGTCGCCGTTCTCAGATCCACACATCTTCCGTTCACAGGCGCACCACTAGGTATGGATGACTGATGACAGAACTGACCATTGCTGTCTCCCCTGTTTTTGTCAGTAATCCATCTCAGTCGTCACTGTATGACTACCAACGGGGCTGTCGACCGAGCTCCTAAGCACAGTGGGAGGTGTAGGTCCCGTAAGGCTATTGGTGATCGCCATCTACCACAGATGCACTACTACGCTACTGACATGAGACCATTTTCTTGGGCTCTGTGCGGGCAATACCTGGGTCGCAGAAAGCCAATCGGTAGGAACTGGGTATGTCTTATGGAGGTGTAAGACGCCAACAGGATGCGCCAAGTACAACATGAATCTGTTGTCTAGCGTAGGCACGCCCAACATCTATGCAGGCCCAATGTCATAAATGAACCCGCGGCTACACGAGATCCATGTCCTCCCTGCTGTTGTCTGGCATACACAATGTGAACCGGATCGCGCGTGGCACGCGTAGACGGACTGTTTAGTCTTGCAAGCCACTGCGCCCGTGCCCACCTCCAGTCGTCTTGACACTTTTCCGCCATCTGAACAAGGTGAGTGATGGATGCGGATGTGCAATAGATGCTGCGCATCGCTAGCCCCGCGTGAGAAGTGGTGGACTACTGTATTCGAGCTGGAGATCTAGGAAACTGCTATTTTATGCACTGACGAGTGCGGCTTCGCCAGAAACAGACTTCGACTAAGGAAGTGTCTCATAATCTGCTTTTCATCTTAATATTTACAGTCGTACAATCTGACATTTAAGTAGATGCTGACATACTCATATTTGCGTTCACATGTTCTGCCTGAATCCCATTAGATTTCAGTCTGTCGCCCACCTGTCGGTCGTTTCAAGGTCAGAAACTGTCGTATGGTGCGACAGAGCTCAACAGTCATGCTGTGAGGGGCGATGAAAATGATAACAGGTGTTATTTTCCGCTGATCGACCCCGACACCACCTCCTGTCCCTCACATCACTGGGAGTCGCAGTTGCAAACAGACTGGAGGTAATCACCAAACGTCAGGTCATGAGGTCGTAAGATCCACTGCTACGACCGGAAGCGTCTGGAGTGGTTTACCGGATCTGGTGCAGTTACGAATGGCGGTGGCGGCGGCGGCGGCGACAGTGAGGAGGACTGATTCCAACTGCCAGATCGCGACTCATCCGGTGGAACCCAGTCATACCTTCAGGTTTGATGAGGCCGAAATCCTCGTAAGAGGTGCAAGCTGCTCGAGTCTGGGTTTTCAAGCCCGCATTCAATTACCTGACGCAGTGACCTGCCGCCTGCATAATCTGTGCTGCGGTTTTGCCTAGGCAAAATTACTAGCCACACGGGAAGGGTGTAGTCGACCAGCAGTCACAGTGACAACGAAGCAAGTTGCTTAGTAATCGTCGCAGTAAGAATCTACGACGGTAGTGAAATCCTGGGCATTAACGACACAAGCACGGACCGATGAACAATCATCGCATCAACTACGACCTCCGGCAATGAACACGAGTATTGTCAAATATGGTAGGCGTATAGTAGCCTGGCGACCACATTCTATAAATACTCCGCACACTTAAGCCATTTTCTGCGACCGTCTCCGTTAATGCGTTTGAGTGAGAACCCGAGACGTCAGTCCAATAGACATCTCGTCCCAGCGATCGTGTCTTCCTCTTCTTCTTCCTGCAAATCGACTAGACATTCTATCAAAAAGGACTCACAACAAGTTCATTGCTGTTTGCACAACCGGGACACCTGACCTTCTGTAAAGTGACAGTGTTGAGAGTGGGAGCATGGGTTCTCCAACAGGGACCATGCGGACTAAGTTGCGTGGCTCTAAACCACTTCACGATCTTCTCTGATGGTGTCCCACAATGTCCTCATTATAATAATGATAATTTTAACGCGCTAACATTTGTTACTTGAAAGCTTGTCAGTTGATAGGATAATTAGGTTCTTCGGTAAGCACCAACAATAATTTCACGTGAGCTCACGCAATCACTGGAGCGCGCGTTGTTTCAGTGGATCACGGAGTCGTTGTCGATGTAGCTGAGTAGAAGACCTCCGGCAGCTTTCAGTAGAACAGAATAGAAAAGAGTACTTGAACTGTATAAAGTCCAGGGACAGTCTTAAACGGCCACTGGAGAGCAAAGATTGCATGTGAATAGTTTATTTCCTTCTGTCTGCTTTCAGGTACTTGCACTTCTGAACCGTAGTGTCCAGATGGTGTTACTGATTTGCCTCGGAACTTGATGTGCAATGTTTTCTCTCGACTAAACTTCAGCAACTTTTCCACTATTTTCACTTACCTTCGACTCTGTTTATTCATGCTGTTCGGTGACATTGTCCATTAACAACGCCGGCACTTTTTCAAACGACCTGATAACTCACGTGAACTGGGCAGACGGCCGAGATTGATGAAAGGTACCGAGGTCTTATTACTTGATCAGGAGATATTAACAAACAGTATGGACAGTGGTTGATAGAGTCAGCAGTACACTGTAGACTCATGCGTCCGACCATGGCATTTCTGTCCGCAGCGCTCCATGATTAATGTGGCGCTCAAACAGAATTCCTCTGTCCCTCCGTAACTCCAATATTGAGAGAAAACAGAACGCCCTAAGCACCCTGCATCCCGCATGCTCTGCCGTCCCCTGGTGTGCGTATGTGTTATCTGCGCCCATAAAACAGCCCACGCCGTAGGGGAGGTAGACCTCTCACGAGTCCGGCAGGCGGCATTGGGCTTTGCACCAACACTGAGGATGTGGTGGCACGCCCAGGTGCGGGCTCCCGACGCGCCAGTTGGGGTTCGAGCCACCCTTCCCTCCTCTTGTGCAAGATCTTATTTAGTGTAATTTGTGGATCAGAGGGTGTTCTGGTACGCCTACCTGCGGGTTTTCGCCGTGCTAGGTCACCTGCAGCTTCTCCCATCTCTCTGGTTTTCTTTACTCTGTTCTGACACGAGGTCCAGGGGGGGGGGAAGGACAGAGGGTGCGTCAGATGCTGCGAAAGTCTACTGCCGCTAACTCACGCGCAAGTTACCATCCCCTGCTCTCACCCTGCTGTGGAGCATATGATGGACATCGTCAGTCACAACAACTGGGCCGTCGTGTGTTTGTATGTATGCCAATATATGTTTTACCGAAATTTACCCAACAGGAAAATAATTTCAAGGTCAGGCCGATATCAAAGTTCTTCAATAGCCATGAAGGACATATTATTCATGCCCCCGAAAACTACCAAACTGCAAACTTCAATTTTTATATTGTACATATCGTTATTTTTTGAAAATTTTGTTATTATTTTCCCTTAGAACTGAGGTTTTTTAACTTAAAACAAACTCTCAATTCGCGCTCTTTTGACTTACCAGACACCCGAAGCAAATGAAGTCAAAGTGCAGTTGAAATTGACGAGTTTGTTTTAGGTTTTTTTCCTGAGTTCAAAGGGGACTGACAGTGCCCAAGGGGCGCTACAATAAACCTATTCTATTCTATTCATGGAAGTGCGGAGGTGACAATAAGACGACAAGAACCACTAATAAATTCATTAGGAGTTGTATTTATACAAGTATTTCCGGTTCAAGTGACAGTCTAAAAAGTTATGTGAACGCACTAAACTCGACGAACTGTAGTTCTCCTAAACAACAACAAAATTCGGCAGACAAAAAGACAGCATAAAATGACAAGAGGCAGAATAAGATAACAGGCGGAACTCAGGCCGACAGCGGTCTTAAATTTTCGGCTGGAGTCCTAGCCTCATTCACGTCGTCTAAGCTCCGTGTGTCACCTCGGCCACCAGCGTCTGCCTTCCTTTCAGCCATACGAGCTTGCAGTTTTCTCAAACGTTCCTCCACATTCTGCAGAGTCGCTCTGTAGTTCTGTCTTTCTCTCCCGTTCGGTCTCGTAATAACTTCCACGGACCGTCTTCTGAACACACGATACAGGATAATGGCTAAAAGGCCTGGCACTACGACGATAAACACGGATGTCACTATAAGGCTGGTATCCTCTCGATTTGAGGGCCTCACTTTGCGTATCTGTGCCTTCGCTTTTAACGGTCTACGAAGTGGTACTCGCTTTGTCCCCATCCGTATGGAATACGCGCCCCATCTTATGAAGGCTGTATACTCGTGGGAGTCGAGAACAATGAAGTGAAGGCTCTGCGGTTCTAAACTCCCTCCAGTGCTTTTCATCCCCCGAACACTGCCACAGGTTACTCTGCTCAACACTCTCTCATCAGTTACGTAGATATCGTTTGTCTTGATGAAGGTGTTTGGACTCCAGGACAGTGTTGGTTGTACGGCGACCAACACTGCATCCACCCCGCTCATATTGCCCCCACTTCCGACCCGATAATAATGTTGTTGCTGCGTACGAAACGCTCCACGGCTGTGCCAAATACGCAAGTCTGTGTCGGACTGTGTTGTATGACAGTGCAGTGTGACGGCATCGCCAACTTCCACCACAATGACTGATGAGAAACGGCGAACCCTTGGTCTAACTGAATAACTCTCCTGCTCCACACTGCGGCCTGGGATTCTGGAATGCGTCAAGTGACGAGAAGCCCCTCGCAACTGCCGCATAGTTGCAACCACTTGCATGGGACTCAAACAGGCGCCTTCACTGACATCCGCATAGCCCACACAGACAGTCTTTCCAGATCTGGAGGGCAACCAGTCCGCGTCTGAGACCTCATTGGAGCCAGCTAGATCGTTAAATAAGACACGCGGAGTCGGGGAATCTGCCTCAAATGTGATGGCGGAGAGTTGAGTGACAGTGTTCACAGTGAAGTTGAAATAGGCTGGCCACTTTGGCAGGCCTCTTAGGGGCTGGCGGATGTAATAATCACTCTGTATTGGAGCCACAAGCACCGACTGGGATTCCACTAGGACCTCCGTCTGCTCGTTTGTGAGCTGGCGGTCAATCAGGAGAGAGATTATGACACTGCGATTGGTCTTGTGGTTGTAGGCACTCGCGTCAGTCAGGTAATGACTCAGGTGACGACTACGAGGGCAATATCGCAGCACAACCCTTCCAGCCATCTTGACAATCACAAATTCTCCCTCCGAAAATGTCCTATAGAGCCAGGGGTAGGGAAGATTGACATCATCCAGCAGTATCGGGCCGCCATCCTCAATATCATCGCAGTTGTCCAGGGGAAATCGGAGTTTTCGGTCAGTATCGACCTACAGGGGAAGTGAAAAAAGATAGACTACTGGGCAAAAGAATTCGAAATTATCAAGAACTCGGAATGATGTCCTAAGGTGAATTGCGGAGAAGTATAAGTAACGAAGATAAAGATAGTGGCATTATTGGCGGCTTTGGAATAGAGCTTAACGACCGCAGTAGTCGGGTCACAGTCCCGCCTTGTAGTCCCCCGGTGCGTCCCATCACCTCTGAGCAGAACAGGTTAGACTGAAGATCACTGTAGTCAGTCACCCAGGCACCACCACCTCCAGTCACACTTTTGACGCAATCGGAGTGGTACCGTTGGACGGCTCAGTGTTACTCCTTCCCCAGCAGCCCCCGACCTTTTCCTTCAGGCCACCAACGCATTCTCACCTGCCGCCTCCGACGTCATTGTTGGCGTCATTCTCGGCTTCCTTACCGTTTTCGAGCCTTCGATCGAGAGCCGACCAATACTGCCCTCCGGAGTATCGCTTCTTCTGCTGTGGCGTCCCGATAACTGTCCATCTTGTACACCGGTCCGGGTAGTCCATTTCGGTAGCTTCATGACAATCACCTCGATCTCACCCGTCGGAACTTCTAAGTCCAGCGCACAGTGCCCCTTATCACATACGCACCACTGACCCCCTCAACCCCTTCGTCTTTTGCCTGCACGCCTAGCTATCGTCAAGGCCGAATCCAAGCACGTGCTTCGGATGGGTCCCCGCACATGGTTCATAGCGTGACGTACAGTAGGTGGGCTAACTCATGAAATGTCAACTGTAATTGCGAAGTGCGTTTTCGTTTCGAAAAAAATTAATTAAGTAGGGTTGTAAAACTAATCAGCCTGCAGCATAGCTCTATAATAATTCAGTTACCTCAAAATGCCGCCTTTTGAACGAGCTTCTTTCCATCTGCACGCAAAAAACTACATTTCCTATTCCCGAATAATTTTGAACCCGCTCCCGTTACACTTGGATTCAGGGTTTCCAAACTAGAAACCGTATTATTTCCACGTACATAAAACCACTCATTTTTCTACGGTAATTAAGGGGGACCATATAGGGTTCATAAAATTAAGCAGTGGATTTGTTCCGTATTGTTAACTTTGCGAGCCCAATTGGTAAATGCAGAGATAGGACGATTTATGAACGACCATTTCACGGTATTTAAAAGTCTCATAATTAGAAACTTTTTTAAAACCGAATTGTGTCCCTCCTTCGAGTATAAGATCGGAAAAAGACGTAATTGTCTACCGAATGAGCAAACTAATACTTTCATGCATGTTTTCCATGAAATATAATTGTATTTTTAAGGGCATCGAAAATCAATGAGAAAAATGCATGCTGATTAACTAGTAATTTTTTCGCAGAGTGTGGTTCTTGCATGCAGACGGAAAGAAGTTCGTTCAAAATCCGGCATCCTGAGGTAACTGAATTATTACAGTCTGATTAGTTTTACGACCCTACTTAATGAATCTTTTTCGAAACATAAACGCATTTCGTAATTTCCGTTGACATTTCATTAGTACTACTCTCATTTCCGCTGTCGTAGGATAAGACTTTCGGCATAAATCCTGGCAATTTTTGTGTGTTCATTCATTGTGTCAGCTTCCTGTCTAACTTGCTGCCCCACCCATAAAACTCCCTTTACCATAAATCTCGTATGCCACGATCCACAGCCTACCGACAGTTAAGTGGGGTCCTTCTCTATACCGTTCCCCGTTCAGTGACTGATCTCATAAAAATGTTATCCGAAATCCTGAAATGCGTTTTCGCTTAAGCTGGGCTGTAATGTTGACTTTCTGGCGGCCTAATCCTGTGGCCCTTCCGACACACCAGAGTGTTGGCTTTTGAGTGTACGTCTTTTCACCCGCCTACGCAACCCGCACTTAGTAGAAGGTGACTGCTGAAGAAGTATGCATTTTTTCACACGAATTTTCCATGCCCTTATTAATTCGAATATACTTTGTAGAAAACATGCACGAGGACGTTCTTTCCAGAACTCATTTGGTAGCAAATCACGCTTCTTTTATGTTCTATGTTCGGAGAAAGAGTATCTTTAGGTTTTTAAGGAATATCCATTTATGAGATTTTTTAAGACTGTGCCCTGTCTATTTGACTGGCATCGTATCCGTCTGTTAAGTAATACTTCCCCTAAGTAAACAACATAGTTCACATCAAATGCAACTGTTTATGTGTCCCATGTGGTATTTTTTAGTGGCATAAAAAGAACGCATGTTTTTAACACTGAGAGTTCAAATTTTATAAACTGAAAATCGTAACCAAAGGTGCTACAGCGGATCAAGTTCGAAGTTAGTAGGAAAAGAAAAAAATTCTTTAAAACCAAAGGGTGCCCTATCTTCGAGTATAAAATTTTAAGAGGACATGAGTTGTTACCAAATGAGTACAAGAAATAATATTTTTATGGAACTTTCCTATAAGCTATATGGTAAGAATCGCGTGAAGGACCCCAAGCATCTGTGGCATACATACTATACCACCACCACCACCACCACCACCACCACCACCACCACCACCACCACCACCACCACCACCACCACCACCACCACCTCATATGTGGCATTTGTTTCGGATTCTGCTGACCCCGCTGGGCCCAATTAAAGCGTGTCGTACCCTAATCTGGCCCGTTTTAGTCCAGCGCATCTCACAGGTGATCCGTGTTGAGGGCACCCTACCTTATTCTCATTAACTCATCGCCTGTTCCTTCGCCAGCTTGAGTGCGGCCCCATCTCCCTTCTTCCTTCACCAGCTGAGGAACTTCGGACAAAGTCTACTAGACCGCCATCCATCCTACGATCCACTTCGTGGAACGTGTACTTAACTTAGGCACCTGCAGTGAATATGTGGCGGTCGGTGTTGATACTGACTGATTCTGATTCGTAGCACAGTGGAGATAATCCCAGTCACACGAGTTCGAGACGATAACGTTCTCACGGCGAGTGCCGACAACAGCAGTATATTGTTGCTTTTTTATTTCCTCAGAGATTAACTGCGAACTTGGTGTAGATCAATATATTCTAGGTTTATGGGCGAAGACCGAATATTTGGGCCGAAGTCCATCATCCACGGCGGATAACCGCGTAATATTCATTAATTGCGACAGGCAGCTAGTAGTATATTTTAGGGTAAGGAGATACCAAACTGACTGCACAGGAATCAGCCAAAAGTCCATACACGCGTGTTTCGCCGACATTCTGCCGCTTCATGACACAGCTGCGAGGGTTTCGGCTCGTCAGCAGACAGGGAATGCTGGGGGTACCCACTTACGAGCCGAACCCCCCGCAGCTGCGTCATGCAGCGGCAGACTATGGGCAAAACACGCGTGTATAGACTTTTAGTTAGTACCTGTGCTGTTAGTATGGCCTCCACTTTCCCTAACGTTAAGGAGATTATTGACGGACCTTTTCTGACACAGGATAATGCAATCACGTCTGAGTCATGTCGCAATTAGATTGAAATACTGCATAAAAAACCGATCATGAAACAACTGAACCGATGTTGCTGCATGAAAAGACCACATCACACTTACCAAATTGCCAGAGCTGGGCTCTGGAATTCCACCACACTTGCGTGCACATATAATCCTTCGTCGGCAGATCGTATTTTACGTAACTCACTCGTCGCATTGTGCCTTACGGGCTCTCGCTTTCGAGCGCAACCAGCAGCCGCACAGCGGCGCATGATTGTAAAATTCTGAAATACTTACTTTCAGTTCGTCAGAAACCAACCAGTGCGAACCACGACGTCGTGTCTTTTTCCCTGATTGTAAATGAACCGGCCTGGTGGCCAGTCTAGTTGGATTTAACACTTTTTAACGCTTAACACATTGTGGTATATCTCCAGTATTTTACCACATCTGTAGAAATCCGTATAAATGAGCCATACAACTTGTAAGTTAGCAATTTTATTTGTCCACCTATCCCTTCATTTGATTTACGAACTTTTCCACTTTGTTCACCTGACCTCGATGGTCTTCAGACTTAGGTAGTTGAAGTTTGAAAGTATTTAAAATGTCTGGTTCTTGAAAAGTTACAAAAAAAAGTAGTCAGAGGTACTAGAAACATGCGCTGAATCGCATACCTCCGCTGGGATCACTCCTTTGGCACAAATGCGAAAGTGAATGTAGGTGCCTTGTTTGACCTCCTGGAGATTCTTTGGCAACGTCTCCACCAGAAAACTATCAGACTTCTGCGGCAGCTCTTCTTCTGAGTCCTCTAGTATCGAATAGGGAATTGACAGCTTCAGAGCCTGCGCAGAACGTCGAACTCGTCTGCCTCCTGAACGAAAGCGCTCCTTCATCCTTCGAATTTCTTGTTGCTTGGCGTAATTTATGGTAACTAGGGGGTCTGAGAATATATTTTTTGACCTATCCCCCTCCTGTATAAAATCGAGCAAATCATTCAACAATTTTGCACGCTTTTTCTCAATAACCTCCTCCGGCAATTCCTCGGCACTGCCATTATTTGGCTTCCCATGTGCATCTGAGTTTGGCGCATGGTTTCTATCGGATGCTGAGATTGCCAAACAAGTGGACAGAAGACATGCGCTGAGAATCAGCTGAACTTGCATGCTCACACTGCCTGCGTTCGACTGTGCGGCTGTTTAAACGAAAAATCGATAAAACGCACGTACGAGATGGTGAGCCTTCCCAAAGTGAGCTAACCTGAGCTGCCTATTTGCGAAGCAGCAACAGTAACACCCCAACAGGGGGTCAGAAGGATAGTGGCGTTCTTCCAGTGATTTCCGCTCCAGCGCCTGAGCGACCGCGTTTAGGGGGGCTTTCGGTTGTTTCGGAGGCTTTATTTGCGCGTCTCCTTCGTATGTGTCGCGTTAGATTTTAGCGGGAGTGAGAAGCAGGGGGCAGGTGGTACGTGCGGCTGTGCGTCAACCTGTATGAAGGAAGGACCCCTGCCGACAGATGCGCTTGCGTTCCCGCTGGGTATACAGGTGGTGGGCATGGCTGCCCAGGCATCATCCTCGTCCTTCTGACCCCTGTTGTTGTTAACGAAAAATCCTGGTCAAGTGTGCATTGTGAACCAGGGTGTGTGGTGGCACTCCTGGGTGCGGGTCCGGTCGCACCATCCACCTGCACCCTCCCCCCGCCTCCGGTCTTCTTGACTCTGTCTTGCACCGAGTCCAGGTGGGGAGCGGGGAAGAGAGAGTGCGGTAGATGCTGTGCAAGTCCACTACCACTATAAACTAATTAACACGCAAGTCACCGTCCCTGCTTGACCCTGCTGTGGAGCACTCGGTGGACACCGTCGGAAACGACGTTTAAACTGTCGTTTGCAAAGCATCCTATGCCCGCTTAGGTGGTGTTGTGCGCTACTTGTTTTTCATTTAGGCAGTTTGTTCCAATAGGTTATCCTTCCCCTGAGACTCCGTACGGTTTCTGCGGTGGTTATACTTTCGGTTATGGTAGGTTGTGTATTTGAGGGGGGTTTTTAAAGGTTCGGCCGACTGAATTTACAGGAATGTTGAAAACAGCCAATACCGAGCCGTTCTCAGCCTACAGTTTGAACACGGTCTCACTTGTTTTCGAGTAAAACACTGAATCATTCAGTCACAGATCAGGTCCTGTTTACAGCGGCGATGAGTATTCCCGTTAGAGAAGTTCAGCGACAAGGCACGATAGCAAAATTACCTTTAGACATTCCGTTTTACTTTGAGATTCTGAACGAAAGGCAGTCACATCGTGATCAGCAATAGGCAACGCAGACATTTTACTGATAAAGACGGGGGGGGGGTTGGAATCTTCGCTGCCGGCCATACTCCAGGAGGGACTTGAATATTTAATTTCAGTCAGGAGGTCTCAAGTGCTCTGGACGGAGTCCGCTAAAGAAAGGGTGCAGTTGTGAACCCACCGGCGTTATGTCGCTGGCAAACTGATGAAACAAGGATGACGTCTTCGGCCGAAGCCATAGTGTTCGCAGAATTTTGTAATCCACAGGCATTTGTCTATGAACCTTTCGTCATATCTACAAGTACCTAGCATCCGTCTGGTCAGCCCCTCTGCACGGCTGGAAGGTGATCAGAAACCGGAGGTGTTTGACTATCGTTACCTTCGAGTGAAGTACTCCGATTTTGTCCCTAGTGGCACAGTCACCACCCGAGGCAACAGCCTCACAATGCTAGCTCATGTCATCCCAGAAATACGCGTAAGATGGTTTTAACACTCTCCTCATCGTTGGCACTAAACGCTCAGTGTGTCTGTCCTTGGTCTGGTGTCTCTGCCCACCAGAGCGTGTTTAAGAGGAGGTCAACTCCGAGTATGATTTAACTTAATCCACAAAAACACGGGGTTGATTATCCGGTCCTCGGCAACCGTTCTCCGTCTCTGAAGAAGTGACTGAGTCCAAATCTCCAGTTTGCTGTCACCGTTCGTCATTTATGGGCAGGTAAATTCACGACATACTTGACTCCGGCCAGGGCAGCCGTGACCACTGCCGTACTAGGTTATCTCAAGCGACGAAGTCCACCACTGCTCCAAAAGATGGGCGTGGTGGTAGTTTGCGTGTGAATTTGTTTACAATGAACACGAATTGAAACAAATCTACCCCTTCCCCCGTCCGATTTTCCGGATCTCACCGCGTTAGGACCGCAAGAAGAAGTCAACACGTTTGGAAATGGATGCTGACGTAATGGCAGACAGGGCTGCGTAGACAGTCGATGTGGGGAGCACACGAGTACCCCAACACTCAACACTCAACACTCATCCCCTGTTCAGAGGGAGGAACGAGTTGTACCGTCGACTAGCGGTCTTGCAGACCACTACTTTTAATGGGCCATGACAGCTCCGCGCCTATCAAACTTCTTATATTGGGAGGTGCGTCACCTATTCATGGGGAAGCCAAATTCAAGAGAGGTCTTCAACTCTCACTCCTCCTCCATATAACAGCGGCATGCCCGATTCAAGCCGACTGGGGATTAGATTGCTTGTGGTGCCCTGTAGTCATCGTGTCGTACAGAGGTCGTACTGACAGTTTGACCCCTGCAAGCAACGACCTCCAGCGCATGTCTCACGGAACGGTGGATGCAGAACTGTCGCGGACTTACGTATGAATTATGTTATAGCGAGATAGGCTTGCACAGCGCCTAGCGCACTCCCTTTCGCCTCCTTCACCCGCCTTGCTCTGATATCGAGATTGTTGAAGAGAGGCGGGGTGCAGACGACCTGGTTCTCATGAACTGCTGAAGTTTCCGGGCCTGACAGCCAACGTATTTAAGCTCAGTGGCCGACGCGGCTGTGCAGCAGTAGATACGGACTCGCGCGGACACAGCACAACTCGATAAACGCGCACTGTGAGTCAGTCCAGTGCAACTCATTGTTGAGACCGTACTGGCAGTTTGGCCATAATCGCCGACGATGTACACCGTAGGCACAACAACGGGGTGGACGCAGGGACGGGGACCTGCGCTGTATCTACGGCACTCTTTCTTCTCGCACCCTTCTGAGCCTGATGTCAAGACAGGGCGCAAACGACCAGAGGCAGGGGAGGACGCAGATGGCCGGTGGGAGCCCGTACCCAGGAGTGCCGCCACATTCCACCTATGGCATTTTTCATGGTCGTGCAGCCCAATAACGCGTGCCGGACCCTGATCTAACTTTCGTGTTAATCCAGCGCAACCTCCGCTTAACCCGTTGTAGAGCACAAGGAGACCGTACCAGGTCCAAGTAGGCCGGCATATGATCCGTTAACTGTTTTCGGTAGGGGGCGTTCACACTCTTTCACAGCCTGAGTGGATCGATGAACATTGCTCACACTAGGCTATGAATCCTCTCAATGGCGATGTCAAACTTTCAACTAGGTCTGCCTCTCAAACCCTTACCACTCTGGGATTTGGTTTTGGCCGGCTGGCGAGGGTGAATAAATCAGAAATCTGCCGTCCCATTATTCTCTATGCAAATGGCGTCAGCGCCTGTAGCCTGGAGCACCAGAGTTAATCTGAATGCCCGTAAAAGTAGAACCGATCGGGGAACGTAGAGTTCACGTAATTTTGAACAAGCAGGGCTGGAGCTAGACGCGCATTAAATGACAGGTTGGAGTAATTCCCCCCATTTTTTGCACCACCCAAACTCGACTTCTCGCTCCGAGAGAGAGGGGAAGGGAAGTGCCCGTAGGGGGCTCTAGTCACTGAACTGTGATGTAAACACATTCAAGCTGACACCGACAGGGGGCTGGTGGTGATGACGGCCTCCCCGGCACTAGCAATAAAACTGTGGCGACGTCGAAACACGGAGGCAGCACACAGCAGAGGCATTCCGGATGGCATGGATGCTGTACAGTGATTGGTTGCCGAGTCTCGTGTGGGTGTACGCCGCGCAGTCTGGCGTCGCATCTACGTTGTCCCCCCCCCCCCACCCCCCTCCTGTAGTAAACGCTCACAAAACCTTGGGCCTCTCATCATCCCTCCTTCATACGGGTTAATGCACAGGCGCCCGTACCACCTTCCCCGTACTTCTCACCCCCGCAAAAACCCAACACAACAGATACGAAGGAGACACACAAAAAAAGTCCCCAAAACAGTCGAAAACCCCCCGAAACGCGGAAATCACTGGAATTGGGAAGAACGCCACTGTCTCAACAGACATGGAGGACCTGAATCGATAGCATTGGGCTAAAAATTGTTGGATTTTCTCTTATAAGGTTTTCGATCAAGTCGTGATTTTGTCTGCTACTCATTACCATGGCCACTACTGCTACGGCCACCACTACTACTACTACTACTACTACTACTACTACTACTACTACTACTACTACTACTACTACTACAGCTACTACTACTACTACTACTACTACTACTACTACTACTACTACTACTACTACTACTACTACTACTACTACTACTACTACTACTACTACTACTACTACTACTACTACTACTACTACTACTACTACTACTACTACTACTACTACTACTACTACTACTACTACAGCTACTACTACTACTACTAATACTGCGGCTACTGTCTGCTCTACCATTAGTACTTCTTCTGTTTCTACCACTACCACCATCAACACTATTATTACTACTACGGCTACTCCTGTCCCCATGATTATCACTGACCACTTTAGTTCCCGTTGGCCTGACGTAAACCCAGGCAACCCACATCAGAAGTTTAAAAACGACATGGCAATATCATTGCGTCGACTGCGATAGGGACTACACATATCTACAAGAGATTAGATGAGCGTCTGCCCAATGTCGGTGGATGACAGCATGTTTTCAGCAACGTTTCTCGACTGCTGATTGCACGGTGGTCTATGACCGCCTGCAAGGGCCTCTAACCCCAATCTCCAGAACAAAACGCATAGTGTCCGTGTCAGGAGAGGTCGTCGAACATTCCTCCTCGGCTAACTTGCTAGTCGACCTCCGAACTGGAAATACCCAGAGTTTGGTAGTCAGCGAAATGCACTGCGCTGCCAGTGATCCACACGTGCAATCTGTTTTATGTAGCTGTGGTAGAGGGCCCTCACCGAACGCGCTACGAAACCTTCTCGTCCCGTTCCGTCTTGGGAGTCGATCTCGGAGCCTCGCCAGCAGCCATAAAGGGACCATTTTTTGGCTTATTAGCCATTATGCGCCAGCCATAACCAACCCCTTGTCTTTGTTGGTAATGTTATTCCGACTGTTTTACTTGTTTGACGACCTCGCAGCGACAGACTGTTGAGCTGGGGATTGGGGACGAGGAGGCATGTAACGAGGTGACAATGCTGGCCGGTCAAGGTCGCCTAATCCCGCCAACTTGGCGCATCCTCTTCGTTCGCAGCTTTGGCTTTCCCATCCCGACGCCCTGTGGTCTGGTCGCCGGCGTCCAAATCCCTTCTCACCCCAGCTCTCCCCACAGGGACATGCCATCAACGCCAACAGCGTGGGCAGCTGCTCCCCCTCCCCACCAATGGGCGGGGGGTGATGATGACGCCCGAGGTCACATGACATGTCCACTGGGACGGCGTCAGTAACTCGCTGGTCATTACGCGCCAGTGAGAGCACGTCAATCGATCGATCAAGGCTAGCGTTGGTGAGTTGACGGCGGTTGGCGGTGGCCCTGGGCGCAGGACGTCGTGATACCTAATGAGGCTGGGAGGGGCCGGGCAAGCCGGCCGCGGGTGGAGAAGCTGATCCGTAGTGGCTCAAGGGGTTATAGGTCGGATGGCCTGGAAGAGGCAACTTGTGAACGATTGTTCTCGGGAAAACCTCTTCAGGCTATTATAGTCACACCATGACAACACATTTCAAAAAAGATTAAAAACGTTAGCCCGTGGTTGATTTGGGATTGTTGGAAGATCGGAGACGAGTGTGTAAACAATGGGAACGAGAGATAAAGACCGGCGTGTGACTATGGTATTTTTTATGCCGACACAATAATGAGTAGTCTAATGAAAAAGCGGTATGACTGACTTATATGGCCCTCTAAATAGGACATGAGAACAGGAACCGCCCGCAATACGGGTGACTTTGAGGATTGGGTTTTGAGGCTAAATTTAAAGTTCACGGTAAGGTACTTCAGGGTCAAGTTTAGGGTTAAGTTAGGGGCAAATGTTAACTGCAGATTTAAAGTTAGGGTGGGATTAGGGTTAAGATAAGGGCAACGGTTTAGGTTTACACAAAAGTTATTGTTGGAGTTAGGACACGAGAATAGTTTGGCCTGCCCAGAATTAGGTGCAGGTCTGCCTTCGTTACTAGCACTGGGCATACCTAGTGTTATGTACTGTTTAGGGGGTCACATAAGTCAGACCCACCGAAATACCGTCGCTTCAGCCGTCAACAACTATTTTGCATGGCAGTCCATAACTTGGCCTCGATCGGGTGTGCCCGCGCACGGTCTTCGTTTCAGCCCTTGGGGGCCGAGCCGGTAGACACTCCCAAATGCCCCCACAGAGACACGACGCAGTTTGATCCACGTGACCTGCGCCACAGGAAGAGCTGAAGGCATGGCACCCGTGTTGGGGGGGGGGGGGTTATATTCTCGTCAGCCTCTGCCCCTTGTAAACTCGTAAAACCAGGGGATGTTCGACCATGTATTACGGACAGACGTGTTTCCTGTAAAACTCAGTCCTGTAAGCATACGACCACCGTTAACTGCTGAGGTTCTTGGTTTGGACTGGCGTGCGGTCGTAATCTTTGTTGTGAAATTCTTATCCCGTCGCCTAAACAACTGCTGGAAGATGCCACATTGTCGATCTGAAAGGCAATCCTAACTAATAACTGATGGGTGTTCATAAGTGGTGTCCTTCCAAGACAGTTCAACCATCTCGGCCCGACCAGCCTCAGATTTTGTTTTAAACCTATGCGGTCGAAGGATTCGATTGGATGAGACTATGGTCGTCTCCGCAGTGACATCGTTTTTCACACCCATCCCCCCGAATGCGGCGCAGTAAGCGTTGAGCAAGGCAGTTTTAGAGGTGTACGACGAAACTCGGAGTTTGCTGAAAATTGAGAACTTCATAGGGCTGTTTATATTTTGCCAAAAAATTACCTTTACTGAAGAAATCTATAAGTAAATAAATGGCGATTCAAAGAGCTCCCTAAATCTTCGGTTTGCTAGCCGAACTGGCCCTCCAAGAGTTAGAAAAGACTGTCTTCATTGACTGTGTGCCTGTCTTTTGGTATTTTCATGTCGAGGACACGCAATGCTCAAGCGAAGAAAGATAGGATCAGCAGCTTTCCTTTCTTGATGCGTTTGTCAGACGAAGCTCCAAGAACGAACCGGTTTACAGGAAGGCAGCGAACACCGTACAGCTTCACGGTATTCAAAGACAGCACCTAGGCGAGCCAGCCAGGATACGCAAACTCGCTGCAGCCTGGCTAACTTGTGGCCCCTGTCAGTGGCACGAGATAGGACTTTTGAACCCAGGTTCAGACCTCAGGTGATTCTAGATTGGGGTCTGATTTTGACTGGCCGGATAGTGGTGGTGGTGGTGGTGGTGGTGGTGGTGGTGGTGCTGCTGCTGCTGCTGCTGCTGCTGCTGCTGCTGCTGCTGCTGCTGCTGGTGATGGCGATGATGAGTTGATAATGATGATGATGTGCTCAAAGGCAGTCTGGCGATAAACTCCACCGAACCGGCGGGGGTAAATGTTCTCTATCCGGATGCTCCTCCCGCACCCCCTCCCCCTGGAAGCCCATTCAAATGGGGAATGGAATTAGTCACGTCTCACACTTCTGGTCAGGGCTTTCACATCACAGCCAACCACGTTGCGCGTGGATGAAAGCAGTGTTGGCGTAATCTGCAACGACAAAACTTGCTTTGCTTTCGAAACGTGGAAGAATAGAGATGATCGGCCCGATAGGGTCTCTTGGTCTCGTGTATACCAACGAACACGCACCCGTGGTCCAAAGCCAGTCATCATCATCATCATCATCATCATCATCATCATCATCATCATCATCATCATCATCATCATCATCATCATCATCATCATCATCATCATCATCATCATCATCATCATCATCATCATCATCATCATCATCATCATCATCATCATCATCATCATCATCATCCTTCTTCTTCTTCTTCTTCTTCTTCTTCTTCCTCCTCCTCCTCCTCCTCCTCCTCCTCCTCCTCCTCCTTCTCCTCCACCACCACCAATACCACCGCCATCATTCTATGCGGGGGTAAGGCTCACTGATTATCAGTCAATTTTCTTCCATCCTTGCCTGTAATGCCCCCCATTATCGATTTCTTATCGTTACGCGACCGCCTGCGACGGCTTTAGATTACGATCTCCAGGGCAAAACTGAAATGCCGATGAGGCCTTCTACAATCAGCCCAGATCAGTGGAGGCCACTTTTGTGTGATTTCAACCTCTATTCGGTAGGAATTCGTGTGTTTCTTATGCATGGATGACCTAAAATCCACCATACTGCACCCCCAGCTGTTTTGTGTGTTAGAAAGCGTCACCTTCGTCGTTTTGTTTAGTTCCAAGTGCCCTCGTCTGAGCTCCAGCCTGTTTCTTGTTTGGAGGTAACAGTTACCGTTCTTTAGTCATAGACGGTCGGCTGTAATCCACCTCGGATAGTAAAAGCCTCTGATGGTGGGTGAAACATAATCACCGGCTTTGACCTAAGTCACTGACTCATGTCTCGTGATCAGGCAACACATCTACCAGGAATCTCGAGTGTCCCTTCCC